TCAACTAGCTCATGTTCTTTACCTCTGAGTGGAGAGGTGTTCCAATTTCTGACTCCGAGGTCCCACTATAGATATGGTTCTATTAGAACCTCATATGACGTGTCATAATGGCATTGCAGTGTTTGCCTCCTCGGTTCAGAGCGAGTATCACCTCCGTTGCTGACTTGTATCTTCGTTTGCCTTCTTCTGGATCTTCGGCGGCAGTCGCCGTGTTACCACGCCCCCGGAAGAAGGGCAAGAATGCGACAAGCAGGCTTTGATTGCGCCTTTTCCCAGTCTGTCGACTTCTCAGCACCATCAGCCTGCATGGCCCCATAGCCGCTAAGACGAAAGAGCCGGCATAACGTTCCATGACGGCAATTCCATGCGGGACGGTGGCTAAGTTTTACGGGAGACCTCTACCATGTCCCCGACTCTCGTCCTTTTTCATCCGAACTTGGGACCGGCAATAACTGAGCTTGTGGGATCGCTAACGGCTGGGTTTGGGTTTCAAATGGTAATGATCTATTGCCGACCTCTTTTCAGACTTCATCCAGCCCAAAAGATTCAGGGAAGTAAGGGTATTTTATAAAACTTTATTTTCGGACAGATAACTTTTTCAGGGTACGGCAGTAACCTCCTGCACCTATTCGAGTCTCTTGCTTCAGCAGGAGATCCATCTTGAGTCATACTGCAATGGTGATGACTGACATACCAAGTGAACACATAACGTAAAGTTCAAATTCAGGCATTCTGTAGCAAGGTCTGATCTGGCGGGACGAGAAAAGTTACTGAAAAGTAACTATGTTTCCTATCGGTTAAATATTTTGTTAGGCATTTTGAGTAATTTGATAATTTGCAACATACTGCCGTTGGTTTACGCGAACACTGGTATACAGAATGACCATACGTGCTATTACACCAATAGGCTATTCGGCGATTTCGCTCTGTTGCCTTCCTTCTGGGGCTAGGGGTCCAGTTTGTGAGGCCAAGCAATAGCTCCATGACATTTGAGCACCCACCGAGCATCGATGCTATAGCACTTCACTGACTTAGGCTCAGTCGTTCACCGACTTGGTTTTGTGACTAGACCTTCATGCAAGCAGATTGTGCTACAGTATTGCTTATTGGACGTGAACAATTTAGAGCCTCCGAAGAACAACAAGTTAAACATCAATCTGTTCAAACAAGACGTCAGGAAGGACCCAAAAATGATAACGATCATACTGTAGCTGTGCATCTCACGCCGTCATTTGCAACTGGTAACGAATGCGTATTGCCTGACCATTGAAACGCCGAAGCTACAGAATGCAACCGTGGCTGTTTCGCAGGAGTAGTCTCAATATCCGTTCCTTTTCCGCGAATTTTTCACTTAGGTCTGACGCAGTCGTTGGCAAGACAACAGCGACGAGAATTCTTCTAAATCTCGAAAGCAGCAGCAAGATCCGATGTGACAGCGTTGACTCATCTCATCGTACTTAACTTGTGAACTCTTCTTCTTCATCAGGCTGAACTGTAAACAGCCCCTGCTTGCTCTTGTTTTCATAGGTTCACTGTATTTTCTGGATTTCTAACGTATATATTCTAACGTATATACTACATTTCTCTGTCCTTCGCGACCAGACAGGAGTGAGATTTAGGTTTCAGAATCAATTTCTACGAAATGGCCTTTACAGTGAGTACGCTCCTACGCTTTTTGCTTTTTCTCAAGCTGGTACACGCCCATCCACCTCAGAGGGATGAAAAGCAAAGTTTTCGACAAAGAGTGGAGTTGACGATTTTCGATTTTCTGTGGATTGAATTTCTCCATTCAAGGAAATGACAAATTCTCTCGTACAGTTCAGCCAGTCTTCCTTCTGTCGTTTGTACTGGTTCACTGCCGGCCCAGAGAATACTTCAACGTCAGCACTTAGTGTTCCTGCAGGACTTAACTTGTTCGCCTCTGTTCCAGTTCCATCTGGAGGACATCTTAACATGTGCCCAAGCCAAAGCAGTTTCCGTTCTTTTAAGACAGCATATAACTGGATCATGTTGCGAAAGGCACAGGATAAGGTATCAAATACACGAACGATCAGTCGTGTTGTGTGAGATGATTCGTAAGCACTAGCGGGAGGAGGATTTTAATTTTTTCGCGTCTTCTGCTCTTACGGCCAAGCTCTCAGACCCATTAAGGAGGGTCGGGTGGAAAACGGCCTGCAGCACTACGTATTTCTTCATCAGTCAGATGCCCCTTCAGTTCCACGGCAACTTGCAATGTTGGAGGAAAGCCCTTCTCCATGTTACTACCTGAACCGTGATCTCATCTTTAGACTATCCATTGAGAACATGGAGAAGCGAAGTTGTTCCTGAAGAATATCGTAAATTTATATTATGCTGTGTTTATGACGTGTCCCATTGTTGCATAGCATATTGAACATCGTAATATTTCGATGACGTAATGACAATGTTATCGGCTTAGTCGTGATCAGTGACATAGTGACCTGACCGGTACTGATTTCGACGCTGGCCAGCGAAATCCTTCATTG